AAAAAAAAAAAAAAAAAAAGAAAAGTGGTTTTTAACCTCTAGGATGCGTCAGAGCCAGCTGGATGGGTTATTCACGCAGATTGTCGGGTCTCACCCCCCAGTTTGACTTAATAAATCTGGACTACAGTCCAATAATTTGTATTTCTAACAGGCTCCCAGATGCTGATGTTGCCATTTATCTGGGGACCACACTTTGAGAACCACTTGCCGCTTTAGAGGGTCATGATGCTTTGTGTTTTACCTTCTTCTGGACCATTATTTCAAACATTTGTCCTTGACATCAGCTTGGGCTTCACCTTCTCCAGTGAGGCCACTTCAACCTCTAGATTAGGGAACACCCCTCATCACTGTCCTCTAAACACCTGGAGTATACCTCTCCTGTGGGACACAACGCCATCTTATTTCACTTGGTGAAGGCAGCACTTAGCACAGTGCCTGGTACATACCCAGCCCCTGAGAAGGATTTTGGAACTGTTTGTTGAACTAACCTGAATGTTCTAGAATGACCAATGACTTGTAATTTTCATGCCCACATCATATTCCATTAATGGTCTCTTGTAGTCTTTGAATACATGGTAATTCTTCAGAGGCCCATGCTCTTGCAGGTCCAGTTCCCCCTACCTGGTATTTTGCTCTTCCCCTTTCTTCACTCAGAAATTTCCTCTTTATCCTTCAAGCCTCAGCTGAAACATTCTCTCCTCATTGAAGCCTTCCCTGACTCCCTCAGAAAATCTATCTGCCTCCTCCTCTCTACATATGTAGCCCCTTGAATACCTCTCCTTTATAATTCTTCTGAGTTGTGTTACAATTATTTGCTTACTTGTCGGATTCATCCACTGTGAACGTTTTGAGGCTAACAACTGAGCCTTAATTTTCTGAGATGTGCATGTAAGAAGCTTAGCACAGTAGCTGCCATAAAAATGCTAACTTTCTTTATTCTTCCTTGTATTCTGCATGGCTCCACTGTCTAACACATGGTAGGGACTTAATAACTATGAAAAGTGTGGATGTAGAATTGACTGGTTATGGTAGTTTGTATAATCCTGTCCCAATTGTTGGACCTAGGGATATTAAAAATTTTTTTTTCTTTTCCTCTCCATTTCTTTATCCTTTAAAATATTCAGTAGAGATGTTTTTATACACTTGTTTTGTTTTCCTTCCTGAGAACATTGAAATTGTGTCTTCCAAAAAAAAAAAAAAAAAAAAAGAAAAGAAATTGTGTCTTCCAAGCAAAAGAGTTAACTCAAGGGTTTTTATTTTCAGGCGTGAGCTTCAACATTTTGGGGTGAAAATCAGCATAGTTGAACCTGGCTACTTCAGAACCGGAATGACAGAACCACAGCAGTGCTTAGAGAAACTAAAGCAAGCCTGGGAAGAAGTCCCTGTGCATATCAAGGAAGCCTATGGACAGAAGTTTTTTGACACCCGTGAGCTTTTCTTTGGATAGGATAATGGCTAACCTTGCCTGAGAAGGGGAAAAGAGGGTTGGTGAAGAATGATGAGCAGGTCCTCTGAGAGCAAAGCTCCTTAAACAAAGCCTTCCCAGGACAGGAGGGGTTTGGGAAGGGCCCAGTGCCCTCATGGTTGGCTTGGTGATGGCTGTCATGGCTGAGGAAGAGGTTATATGGACAGCCTGGGGCCAAGGCCACATGAGCACTAGGGAGGTATTACATGGTTAGAGGCCCAGAACCTCTGCGTGTGCCCCTCTGTAGTTTGGCGGGGCTGGTGTGGGAGGCCTGCACAACTGAAGTACAGCCTTCAGTATTGTCTACCCTTTTGGTAACAGAGGGCCCAGGCACAAACTCCATGTCTTACTGTGGGAGGAGGGAGGGCGTGTGTGGGCAGGGGGAAGTGGGTGAGGACCAGCTTTGCAGCGCTTTATTGGCTGTCCCCAGAGACTGGACCCCATGTGCAGCCCTCAGGAGCTTCATGGGAGAGAGATGGTTCAATTTCTTTCTTTTTTTTCTTATTTTTTTTAATTAACGATTTTTATTTACTTATTTGACAGAGAGAGACAGAGCGAGAGAGGGAACACAAGCAGGGGGAGTGGGAGAGGGAGAAGCAGGCTTTCCCCGGAGCAGGGAGCCCAATGCGGGGCTTGATCCCAGGACCCTGGGATCATGACCTGAGCCGAAGACAGATGCTTAACTACTGAGCCACCCAAGCGCCCCACTACCTCCTGGCTTTTTTTCATGCACTGTTTCAGCTTTGTGTAGCTCTATCCGCTGCTTCCTTTTTATATTTACCTTTACCTTTTCCTTCCTAAGAGGGAGGACTCTGTTAGCTGTGTTTATTTTGTGTGTGTGTCAGGAGACCTGTTCTGTGACATTTTCGTGCACTTATTATGTGCCAGGTACTGTTGCGAGTATTTTACATCTCACAATTTTCATAGCAACCCAATGAGGAAGGTATTATTTTTATCCTTATTGTATGTGTGAGGAAACTGGGGTGCAGAGGTTAGTAAGTCACCATGGTCACAACACAGGTAATAACAGGCAGAGCTGCTCTCTAGTCCTAAGCAGGGCTCTCCTCCCACCAGGTACCCTCCCTGGTCCAGTTAGCTGGGGACATGATGGGGTAGTCACATGGCACAAAATATTGCTACAAGACTCCCTGTTTAGCAGGAACAGACTTTAGGGCAGTTTCACACTTGGGAATGAGCTGTGAATATTTTAGGCACTGTGTATTAGCTTCCTATGGCTGCTGTAGTTTTTCTTTTTTAAGATTTTATCTTTTTAAGTAATCTCCACACCCAACGTGGGGCTCGAACTCACAATGCCAAGATCAAGAGTCGCATGCTCTGTCGACTGAGCCAGCCAGGCGTCCCATGGCTGCTATAATTTACAGTGTCTGAAAACAACACATATTTATTCCCTCACAGCTCTGGAGGCCAAAGCCTGAAATCTGTGTTATTGGGCCAAAATCAAATTGTTGACAGGGCCAGGTTCCTTCTGAAGGCTCTAGGGGAGAATCTGTTCTGTGCCTCTTCCAGCTTCTGGGGGCTGTCAGCATTCCTTGGCTTGTGGCTACATCACTCCAATCTCTGCCCCCAAGTTCATATTGCTTTCTTTTCCTCTATGGGTCTTCAAATTTGCCTCTGTCTCTCTTATAAAGACAGTTGTGATTGCTGGTGCGGGTGGGTGGCTCAGTCGGTTGAGTGTCTGCCTTTGGCTCAGGTCATGATCCCAGGGTCCTGGGATCAAGCCCTGCATTGGGCTTCCTGCTCGGCAGGGAGTCTGCTTCTCCCTCTCCTCCTTGCTTGTGCTCTCTCTCACTATCTCTGTCTCTCTCTCTCTCAAATAAATAAAATCTTAAAAAAAAAAGATAGCTGTGATTGCACACCCAAATTATCTAGCATAATCTCCCTGTCTCAAGATCCTTAATTTAATCACAACTGCAAAGTGTCACATAGGGTGACATTTATAGGTTCCAGGGATTAGGACCTGGTATCTTTGGGGGCCATTATATAGCCTACCACGTGCCATGACTAGTAGATGTCTCTTATAATATGCATATTGTATTATCTGCCTAGGAAGGGAATAGGGAAATAATTGAGGAAGTCATATGAGTTGTCACCATGTGGCAGGCACCTTGCTTGGCTTCCAGCCTAACTGACCTTCTGTCTGCCTCCACGGGGCTGCTGCCTATTGATTTACCACCACTCACGACTGGTGACTCAGACCCCTTGACTCATTCTCAGACCAGGAGCAAAGAATGTCCTTCCAATGTTCAAATCACAGATTCCTTTAGAAAATTTTCATGTGCTTTAATTGTGCTAAGGCTGAACAGGGAAAGGAAGTTCTGTCCCACTTATGAGCTGGAGTTTTAAAGGGAATGCAGGCGTCTTGGTGTGATGGGAATCACCGTGAGGAAGCTACAAGGGGAAGTGGAATTTTAGGGCAGAGGCACCACTGGCTTGCACAGCCCTCTCTCTTCTCCAGCACATACGGGCACCTGGAGAGTCTCTGAGGCTCTACCATAGAAGGTTTTAGATTTTGCTTTGATAAGGGAGGCTTTTCCTTTAGAAAAGTGGTTTTTGGGCGCCTGGGTGGCTCAGTTGGTTAAGCGACTGCCTTCGGCTCAGGTCATGATCCTGGAGTCCTGGGATCGAGTCCCGCATC